GCAGATAACTTGAGCCACAAACAAAGGGGATGGAAGAGCAGGACACTCTCTACCCCTCTGGAACAGACTCAAGGCCACAATCAATGAGGAATTGATGGCATGCTGATGTGCTTCACTCCCAAGGACAATGGTAACAAAGATTTTGCCTTGCTCACATCAACCTGTCTCTCTCTCCCCGCTCTCTCTCTTTCCCACTCCCTGATCCTAATCACAACCTTTTGCTCCTGGAGCAAATGTGGTTTTAACTTGCTTACACCTTATTTCTAAGATACTCCAGACACTGCTGCACCTAGGACAGGTATGCTATTAGTAATTCCGCCTTACTTATCGGATCCTACCATATTACTCCCTCTGGCCTTTATGAACAGGATGCTTTGGCTTGCTAACACCTACCTGGAAGCCATGCTTTCAACTTTGCTTAGAAACCCACAAACTCTATAAAAAGGCACTGAGATTCATGTAAATTCAGAACATTGGACTTAGTCTCATTCTACTTAAAATGACTTAAAATACAGGAGGTTTTAAAAAGAATTTCCTGGTCTGGACTCATTTTTGAAAATGCTAAAGAGCAGCTGAAATAGAAATAAATAAAACAGGGTTTCTTTACAGATGGGACCCAACTTCTTAATCATCATAACCCTTGCTCAGCTCTATCATGTGACTGTGGGGATGCTATCTCTCCCCCTCTCCCAAACATTTCTGCTGACGATACTCTCTGCTCCATGCAAGGTGATTAGGCCAAATGCCAAAGCAGCAGTGCAATGCAGGATACTAAGCTCAAACGTCCTTGTGGCATCCAGACCTAAGAAAAAGTAGGGCGTTTGGGTCTGAAGCACATTTAGGAGGACTGGGCTGTATGCTTTGAGGATGGGTACAGCAGAATTTGATTTCCATGCTGAAAGACCTACATAGAAAACATTATTTCTATGCATTTTAGGCACGAGGGTCAATGAAGAGGATACTTCAAAAGTGTTGAAATGTTGCCAGGGAAACCTGACATTATTTCCCAGAAGAAGATTTGCTGTGTAAGAGACACTGTGATATCTTTGTGAAAATAAAAATGCTGAGGCAGTTTTTACAACTTTAAGAGAAGTCTTATCTCATAGCTCTCTCCTTCTGTGCATATCCAATCAGAACTCATGGCAGAGGACCCAACAATCCAACTTCCCTCCGTTTTTAACCTCCTCCTCTCCTAAGGGCCCTGGAGTTCCCCGTCACTGGCTGCCCAATAAAACTTAATTACACATACACAGAATGCAAATCAGCAATGGAAGCAGCTGTTCCTTTGGTCTAATTCCCTCTGCTGCTCCCACATGCCTATCTAACATCACCCAGGAAGGGAATTAATCCCATCTAAATTCATTAATAAGAAACTAAACTATCCTTGGGGAAAAAATCAAGAAAGGACATGATAGAAATAGATCCAATGACACCTCCTGCCATATCTTATAACCACCCCAAACCCTTCATCTCTACCCTGCTCTGTCCTCAGAATTCCCCAGTGTGGACTTGTGCTGCATTTCCAGTCCTTCTTGTCCTGCAGAACTGCCCTACTGCCAAATTGGATTCTGCAGAAACTGAAGTCTGGCAGCCCTCCCAGAAGCCAGAGGGACTGACAAATCTGATCCTGGAGCTTATTTCCAGCACATATTGTGGAAATCAACTCTCCCATATATTGTATGAGGATTTAGCAATACAGTACAGGACCGGAATGGGAAGGCTTGCTGTAGTTTGAGTGAGGCTGTCCATGGTGCTGAAAGGGTACCAATTCAGAGACCCATTGGTGGTTGTTTTTTTCCAGCACCATGGACAGCCTCTATTGTTCAATAAGGCTTGGAATCTGCCCTCCTGCTACTTCTGTCTTACTTACCCTAACACCTCTACTAAGTTTTGTGGTGGGTGCAATCTTTATATGCAAAGCATCTTGTCTCCACCACTCCCATAACCCTGAAACACTTCTTTTCAGAGTGTTCATCCTGAACACGCTCTCTCTGGGTCCACAACCCAGTGCTTCACTCTACACTGCTATCGACCATAGCACTCCTGTTGGTGGCCCCAAACTCTCTG